GCCATAATAATTAGAAAGGGGTTTTGGGGTATTGTAGAATATATTTTATAGATAAGGAGCCCCAAAAATAGTATAGGTAATTGTTAAAGCCCCTCCTCTATTACCTGCAGCCCTAAACCCTGCACAACAGGGGTTTACGACCCCTTAACTATGGGGCCTAATTCGCAAAAACAATAGCTTTTCGTATCTACAGGCAGGGTCTAGGGTTTAGGGAAGAAGTGTAAAAGTCAGCAAGACTTGATACTCTCTGAATTAGGGTTGCCATTGCCAGAATCAAAGGAGGCCCTATACACACTCATCAGAACCGCCCATTGTTAACCCTTCCTCATGCTACTGACAAGATCGCGAGCAACCTCGACAGGACATGGTTCCTGAACTTCATCATAAGGTGTAACAAAGACACAAATATCAAGTTGTTGGGGCTGAGGTTCAGGATTTTCAAACAAGGTCGGGAGTAGCCCATGTCCGCTGCAGCCACATACATGTCTAGATGGCCGCAGGGTTACAGAATGTCGCCGCAAACCCTGGAACATTATACCCTGCTGCCTAAAATCCCGGAACCACATGGGGTCACTGCAGGGGCATCGTTAGCTAGTGGTGTTCTTCCTAAGGACTTCCCTATTACAACAGATCGGAAATTGAAAACCGCCAATGCCAAGGTCTTCTACTTCCGGACCCCGCCCCCCCCCCCACCAAAAAAGCGTTTCGGACAGCAGCCAAACCTGAAACACTATGGCACGTAACATCTTGAAAACCTTCAAAAGCAGCCGTTAAAAAGAAGCCAAACCCCATGCAGTTCCAAGATCCTTCATGAAGAAGAGCCCCTGTCAGCCAGAACGGACCTAGTGCTTAGTTGTAGAAGCCCGAAGACCGGTATAGCCCCGTCTGAAACCCTAGAAACCCCAATACACCCGAAGGGCCTGCAAAAGCCCTAAACCCTGAACTTCGAAGCTCAATCTCTAAGCCAGATCCTCAACTGTAAACCCTGAACCGACTCTACTAACACCACTAATCTAATACCAACAAGAAGAATCAACCTATAGTACTGAATACGGTTACACATAGGCCCCATAGTAGTTCCTGTTTGTGGTTCATATTTAGAATCCTGTAAGGTACTCCCAAAAAGGAACTACTGTGGGGCCTATAACCCTAAACCCTAAACCCTAAATCCTAAACCCTAAACCCTAAGCATAACATAAGCAAGCAACAAGTCTCCTCACCTCTCGGGTCAGGACGGCAGCTTCCAGGCGATTGAAGAGCAAATGGCGATACACCTTCCGGCTGTCTGTTAATAACTAGAATAGGATGTTGGGGCCCATTATACTATAAATGTAACAAGGAACCCCCAAAATAGTACTGGTAATTATTTAGGCTGTCAGGGTTTGTGTGGTTTTGTTGTTGGTTCTTTTCCTCCTCATCGGGGGTCGGTAGGAGTCCGGATTCAGGTCCCAGGCTTTCCTGCCTTGGTCCGTCTCTTGTGGTTTTTCTTCCGTGCCATGTTGCGAGAAATGACCATCAGACGTGTTCAGAGAGATCAGCGGGGTGGTCTGGCAGTTGTGCTGGTGACTTCAACACTTTGAGGAACGCTTAGGGTTTAGGATTCGCGGAGTCGGTCTTGAGGGTTTTGTGGCTGAGCGCTTCGAACAGGAGGCCTGGGTTATGCATGCCTGCATGCATGGTGCGTGATGCATGATGTATCATATATGCTGTATGCATGCATTTATGCATGCATGTACGTATGTACTACATAAACTTAGAGTTATAACATACCATGTATATATACATATCTACACATACATACATACATACATACATACATACATACATACATACGTACGTACATACATACATACAGGCATGCCATTTCGAGCCGTGCAACGGAATTAATTCATTAAGATGGGCTGGAGCGTAGGGCTCAAAGCTAAGCATCAATCTTGACTCAGTCGTGCAACATGTTAGGGGCCAATCAAAGACTTGCGACAGTTTCAGGACGGTCCTAGACCGTAGACAGCGTGCCTCTTTTCGCATCAGCTGCATATCGATGAAGACCAGCAGAATTTCAAACTCTATATACGGGTCCACCACCTGCACATGAAAGCACTAAACCCTAAACCCTAAACTGGAGTGGGTGAGTTCAAAGCTTGCTCAAGCCAGGTTGGTTGGTAGACTTGCCCGAAACTGAGAGGCCTCATCATGAACTACCCGAAACCCTAAACCCAAAACCCTAAACCCTAAAAGCCCAAGAAGCTCCTAAACCCTGCAGACCTCAACCTGAAACCTAAGTGGCTTAACACCCCCCCCCCCAAAAAAAAAAAAAAAAGAAAACAAATGATTGTTTAGGGTTTAGGGTCTAGGGTTTAGGGTTTAGGGTTTGGGGTTTAGGGCGGTTCTAGTGGAGGTGTGTCTAAGCGCCAGGGTCCATAAGCCTGGCAAAGCATCAAGAGAAAGCCTCGAAACCTGGATTCCCGAAATCCCCCAACCGTCAAACCCTTACTGTATAGCATAGGCCCCATAGTAGTTCCTTTTGGGGATTACCTAATAGGATTCTAACTATGAACCCCCAAAAAGGAACTACTATGGGGCCTATGTATAGAATCCTGAAAAGGCACCTTTCAGGGCTTCAAAAACCACAGAGTCCCGAAGTCGCAGTTGAGTGATAAGGTCCCGACGCTTCGCAGTCCCTCTTCGGTTTTTTTTTTAAAGGGGGCTTAGAGAGAACCCTAAAACCCCCCCAAAAAAACCTGCAAAAAACGGCAGATTGGAAACTTCAGGGTTCGCTGGCTTGAAGTGGTTTAGGTCCAGCTCAACGAGACTACTCATAGGCCCCATAGTAGTTCCTTTTTGGGATTCCCTTATAGGATGCTAAATATGAACCCCCAAAAAGGAACTACCATGGGGCCTATGGGTAAGGGCCTGAGGAGGGAGTGGGTTGGGATGTTGTGCATTTCGAGAACTGGCCTGGCATTTCATTAGGTATCATCAGAGTTCAGCGGTTCAGGGCTTAGTTTAGGGGTCCAGGCAAAGTTTATTGGGATTTATGGTTTAGAGGTTTAGGGGGGTAGGGGTTTAGGGTTTAGGGTTTAGGGTTTAGGGTTGGGAGTAGTTTAGGGGCCGAGCCACCTCGCCACAGGACGTGCATTGGCTCAAGCAGATGTCCTGGCCGATGCGCCGGTACAGTTCGCCTGGGATGCCGGGTCATGGCACTGGTTCGGTTATATCCAGTCGTAAGCCTTACTTCTATAGCCCAGGCCCGAAAAAAAAAAAGCAAACGTAATTCCTTAAGTCCTCAATGCTGGAAGTCCTAAGCCTGAAATCCCAAAACCCCAAACTTCTTGAGCCATAAACTCTCAGAGCCCTGGAGCCACCTACATGAAAGTAGCAGGCCCCAAATGTACTTCCTGAATCAAACCACTGAATTCAAAACCCTCGAAGTTTCAAGCCTGAAATCCCTAAACCCTATTTTCCTGAACCATACACCCGTAATGCCCTATAGCAACCTTACAGGAGCAGAACCCTTGTAGAAGCTATGGGGGAAGCTTTAGAAACTACCTTTATATAGGTCCTTCAAAGGAACCCTCACAGGATCCCTTAAAGGATCCCTTAAAGGATCTCTCAAAGGATCCCTTAAAGGATCCCTTAAAGGATCCCTTAAAGGATCCCTCAAAGGATCCCTTAAAGGATCCCTTAAAGGATCCCTTAAAGGATCCCTTAAAGCATCCCTCAAAGGATCCCTTAAACTTACAGGAACCCTCAAAGGATGCCTTAAAGCGTCCCTTTATTAGGGCCCCCAAAAAAGCACATAAGCAAAAATTAGGATCCGGATATCCCATATAAAAAACCTTATAATGAAGCCCAATAAGGTAGGGATATCCCTATAAAAAGCTTATGCTTATGTGCTTTTGGGGTCCCTAATTTATAGGATCTCCAGGGCACGTGCAGGCGCGCCACAGTGCACGCAGCGGTAGCGCAGCTCAGCTCCCGCGGGTGCATTCGCCGCGGGAGCCATTCGCTGGTCGAGTCTCTTAAGGAGCTCCTGTAAAGGGATTAGGGTTTAGGGTTTAGGGTTTAGGGGTTTAGGGTTTAGGGTTTAGGGTTTAGGGTTTGGGGTTAAGGGTGATAAATGACGGCCCTACAAGCCCTACAAGGGCTACTGCAAGCCTTTCGGGTTTTAGGGTAGGGGGGTTGAGGGTTGAGTGCGGTTTCACACCCGGTTACAGTGGTTAAGTTGAAAGTTGAAGCATGTTAGAACATCTTTCTGATGCTGAACAGCTAGGATTCGGGTCTGCCTTTTTGGATTTTCGGCTTCGGGGGTGCTAAGGTATAGGTTCTCACTGCTTGAAGCATGCACAGCTTGCACCAGGTTCGGGTATTTGGGGTCGCTAGCACTGGAGGTTCATGCGAAATCATGTGATCGCTCTAAGATGGAACTTAGCGGGCAACCTCGTAACATCGTAAGCCAACATGAAGCGAATGTTTGACAAAACCAGAACTTGCCGCAGCAGCAGCATGCACTAACCCCCATACGAATACAACCTTTGGGAAACCCTAAACCCTAAACCCTAATACGGTTTGGGGGATATTGACCGACGAAACCCACGAAGTCCCCAAACCCAGCGAGGCGCCACCCAGTTAACCTCAGAACGAGTCCCCATACCCTAATCAAACAAACCTCAGACCCTAAACCATACCCCTAAGACCCATCGAAGCTCCGCCACGCTTGAAACCCTAAACCCTACCCCTAAAACCAAGCGAAACTCAACCCAGACACACAACCCTAAACATCCCTAAACCCTAAACCGTGAACCCGAAACCCTAAACCCTGGACCCGAAACCCTAAACCCAAACCCTAAACGCTACCCCTACCCATAGGCCCCATAGTAGTTCCCTTTTTGGGATTACCTTATAGGATTCTAAATATGAGCCCCAAAAAGGAAAGTAAAGCCCAGCGAGACTCCCCCGAAACGCCCTAAACCCTAAACCCTAAACACCGAGCCGGTAACGGCAGGATTTTCGGGATAGCCGCAGATCCCCGGACTGCCATCCTGATCCAACAGGGACCACGGCTTAGGGTTTAGGGTTTAGGGTTTATTTAGGGTTTAGGGTTTAGGGCTTAGGGTTTAGGGGTTAGGGTTTCGGGCTTAGGGGCTGTAGGAGCCGAAAAATTGTACAGCTACAGGGCCATAACAAATCAGATTTACAAGCAGCACAATAATAAGAGCAAGAATAAGAATAATGGTAATAATAATGTCGATGACATCTGAACATCAGAATGATAATTGGGATGAGGGGGGTGCGAAAGTGGTTGGATAATTAGACTAGGGCCTTTGGCGTATGTTCAGGTTTTCGCTTCAGTGGTTTGGTGCATACTCTAGTATAGTTAAAATGTGACTATAGCGAGGATACGATTGCGATGATGGTATGGAGGATGCTTGATAGCACAGCAAGTTTATCGTTTGCATGACTGCTGTGTCTCAGAATGTGGAACTGGCGCGCTTTGCTGGCAATGGTAATATAGGGGCCTTACTAATTGGAACAGGGTTTTCGGGTCCATTATACTAACATTATAATAAGGAGCTCCCAACATCGTATTGGTAATCATTTAGGGCCCTATTATATTGGAACTGCTGGCCCGACCTATGCTGATTCGCTCAATCGAAGTGCGTGCTTGGAAATGATGGCGGCGCTGATAACTGATTTAGGGTTTAGGGTTTCGGTTTAGGGTTTAGGGGTTTAGGGTTTAGGGTTTAGGGTTTAGGGTTTTTCGGGTTCAGGCTGATGACTGCCACTCTTTTCCGAAGCTCCTGTTTGTCGAGGAGTTTGGAGAATTACAACCACTCCACCAGCAGCAGGCTGTTCTAGCAGTCACAGCATTCCTACCATGTCGGATTCCTAGGATGTTCTGCTTGATGATGAAAGCCTAAACCCTAAACCCTAAACCCCTGAACCCTAAACCCTAAACCCCTAAAACAAACACCAAAAGGCATGAACACCCACAGTCTGCCAGGCACACTCGAGTCTACCTAGACCATTGCGGGTACCCAGGGTTTAGGCGTTTAGTACTGCACATCTGCCTGCATGTCATCATGGGGTTTGACTAAACCGCTGCCCTTCGTCCCAACAAAATACGACAATCCTATAGCCAGAGTCCCTTCCGTTATGGCTGTAGGGCTCCAGGGTTGAGGTGGATATATTGTCCATTTCAAGTTTTTAGAGATCTGGCAGGACTGAGCTTTACACCTTCATCCTCGAAGACGTTGCTGAACAGTACAATTCCCCGGAAACCATTGGCCACAGGGGGTGTTTGACACCCTAAACCCCAAAACCCCAAAACCCAAAACCCCAAAACGCTAAAACCCTAAACCCCAAAACCCCAAAACCCCAAAACCCCTGAACCCCAAAAACCCAAAACCCAAACCCCCTAAACCCCCAAACCCCCAAACCTCCAAATCCCAAAACCCCTAAACCCCACAACCACCTAAACCCATAAACCCCAAAACCCCCCAAACCCCAAAACCCCCAAACCCCAAAACCCCTAAACCCCCTATACCCCAAGAAAACCCCAAACCCCCTAAACCCCCAAACCCCAAAAACCCCAACACCCTAAACCCCCAAACCCCAAACCCCCTAACCTCCAAAACCCCCCAAACCCCTAAACCCCTACACCCCTAAACCCCTAGACCCTAAACCCTAAACCCTAAACCCTAAACCCTAAACCCTAACCCCTAAACCCTAAACCCCTAAACCCTAAACCCTAAACCGACAGATCCGGCCTTGTTGGGCGGCAGGAAGCTCTGGAACAGGTCGTGGAAGAAGTCGAGACGCGCCCGGGCCATGCCATACTTCTCCGAAAGCTCCTTTAAGGGATTTAGGGTTTAGGGTTTTAAGTTTCCGAAGGCTCCTTTCAGGGATTTAGGGTTTAGGGTTTTAAGTTTCCGAAAGCTCCTTTCAGGGATTTAGGGTTTAGGGTTTTAAGTTTCCGAAAGCTCCTTTAAGGGATTTAGGGTTTTGGGTTTTAAGTTTCCGAAAGCTCCTTTAAGGGATTTAGGGTTTAGGGTTTTAAGTTTCCGAAAGCTCCTTTAAGGGATTTAGGGTTTAGGGTTTAGCGTTTAGGGGTGTCTAGGGTTTATAGCTCCTTTAGGCATTTAGGGTCTAGGGTTTTAAAGTTTTAGGGTTTAGGGTTCTAGGGTTTAGGGTTTAGGGTTTAGGGTTTAGGGTTTTAAGTTTTAGGTTTTAGGGCTTTAAGGGTTTAGGGGTGTAGGGCTTTTAGGGTTTAGGGTTTAGGGTTTTAAGTTTTGGTGTCTAGGGTTTAGCTTTTGGGGTTTGGGGCCCTCTCTTTGTGCTGGCCCAAAACCCCCCCAGCCTCAAATCGTAGATCTTGAAACCTCTACCCTAAGCCCCATACCAGTTGAAGACTTCCGGTTTGGCGAAAGCTCCGGTGTATGACAAACAGCAGGCACCGTCATAGTTCGAACAGCAACAACTAGGGTCGGGGTGCGTAGTAAAGACATCACCCACATGGCTCCTCTATGAAAGTATAACAAAACTCGAAAGCACGAGTTTATTCATTGAGGCAACAATGCAATAGCTAGAGATGGCCTTCACCATCGCAAAAGAGTAAATCACAGCGCAAGAACTAAAGACGACCTTGACCATCAGAACAGCGGTAAACTGAAAAGGTATGATGCAGTAAGTCACAAAGAACACCTGTAACAGTCGACCAAGACAGACGGTAGTGTGTAGTGCTAATTCCATTTATAAGTGGTGACGACCAACCACGATCATGACAAGCAGATCATAAGACACCATCAACACCGTCACAATCATCATCGTCATCATGCCAACACACCAAACAAGGATGGCAGCACACAGCACCTTCACCTCTGACTTCCAAATCCCTAGCCCCAGGCCCTAGACGCTAAAACCCAAGCACCGTGTCTCCTCCATGGTGGGCTTGATCTCGATCTCCTTCGAGTGATCATCCTCATCCTCCCCTGAGACCTGACACTTCACGACTCCGGCTCACTGCGAGGGGGAAGTATAGAAGGCAGTAGTAATAGTAGTAGTAGTAGTAGTAGTAGTAGTAGTAGTAGTAGTAGTAATGGTAGAGCGGTGCAAATGACAAACAAACTACCGCAGCCTTATTATAATAAACCCTCAACCTTAAATGAACCAATTAACCTGACCCGGCATCCAAAATTCCTTCTGCCCACCCGCTGGAAGATGCAACGGGGAAAGACTTCTTCTATTCAGCCGAGGCTTTTTTTGTTGAGGGGGGGTTTAGGGCATTAGGAATGGAAAAACCGAAACTAGGAAACAGATTGCCAGGGTGGTCGAAACGTTAGGCACCAGCTTGCAAACCCTGTCCGTCCCGGCCTCGAAGACCTAAACCCTAAACCCTACAAGCAGCTCCAACTCCGACGTAAGCACAACTGACGTTTATATCTGTCTGCGAGGAGGATTACCCTATAGACCCTAAACCCTAAACGGCCCTAAACCCAAAAGACCTCCAGCCCTGAACCACGACGGTTTAGGGTTTAGGGTTTAGGGTTTAGGGTTTAGGGTTTAGATACAGGCTGTTCATGAAAAAAATCGAGTAATGCAGGGGCCTTAATTAATTAGAATAGGGTGTTGGGGTATATTGTGCTGCGAATATACTAAGGAGCCGCCAAAATAGTATAGGTAATTAATGACGCCCCTATACTAGTTACTAGAACCAACAGGAATCCCAGCATCTGCACCCCAAACTGTGACCATCAACCTTCCCATGCAACCAAACCAAACGGCTCCCGTTTGAGTCTTAAAAGAGTTCTATGGGATCATACAGGATGTCACCACACTGTATAATGTAGGGGCCTTTAGAATTAGAATAGGGTTTTGGGGCCCACTAGACTATAACTATAATAAAGAACGCCCCCCCCCCCCCGTACAAAAAAAAGAAAAACAAAAGTGTATAGGCAATTAAGGTATGTATTTAGGCCCCTACATTACCAGGATTTCGATGAAGGCTTGACACGGGGTCTTACAGTGGGTGATGGGGCTTCACGAAGTTCCTAATACAGGGGTCGTAATGATGAAACTAGAGTTTGGGGGGTATAACTTAGGAATACTGTTCAAAACAATTGTTTCAGGCTTCTGCCGTAAACCCACGGCCCCGTAGTAACCCCAAACCCTGGAACCCTAAACCTAAACCCCATAAGCACCAAAATCTCTAAATTGCACTCTAATCCCCAACCCTACGGCCCTAAACCCTAAACCCTGCGGGCCTCCTTCCGTTCTGCTCGGCGTTCCAGCTCACTGTCGACCTCTCCAGCTATCGAAGGCTGTTCTCAGGGGGGTTACTCGATTCGAGTTTAGGGTTTAGGGTTTAGGGTTTACGGTTTAGGGATTCTTTTTGGATACGCCTAGTAGAACAGCCTTAGTGCTTATAGTCGGGTTTGAATAGAAAGACCCAGTAGAAGAGTCTTTTCTTAAGAATTGGGGGGCGCAGGAAGCTGGTTCAGGCCTGTTGGGCGCCGAAAGTCTGCAACACTCGTTCACGCCCCAAACCCAACATGGCCTCGAAATAGAATGATCGTAAATTGTTTGCTTTTCGATTGCAAGTCTGCTTTTGCTCTACTAGTAAGAACATTAATTACTTGTAATTGGATCCTGCAATGGGCTCCGCTAGACTGTTCGGAAACCCAAAATTCATTCCCAAATCGCCCTTTCCAAAGTTGCCCCTTTAACACTCAAAGTCTTCAAAACAGAGCCTTTTCGCACAAAAACCCTGGCGATCTTTGAGAAAGCCGACTGGCAATGTCGAAACAAATTTTAACAACCAATGGCAGAGGCCGGACATTGCTTTCAATAAGCACCGTGCAGCTACAGAAGAAGTGAGAGCAATGCACCAGCAGTCGCCCTCGCTCTCTACGAGGTCGTCTCCACTCCATCCTCCAACTTTCGTACCTTGCGAGCCTGCACGATTGCAGCTGCCTCGCTTTCTGGCACCCCGGTAGAAAAGAGTTGAACCTTGAGCGCAACCTCAGGCCATTTGCTCATGAGATCACTGTAGGCCTGAAGCTTGAGCACCTCTGCGAAGTTGTCTTTGATGTAGGCGAGACAAACCTTCTCGAGCTGTGTGGCCTCGAAGACATGTGCCTGGCGAAGGACGCTGCAGACCCGCTCTGCGCTGAGCTGGTTGCAGAGCTGCGCTTCGCACCAACGCTGAAGCCGTTCTACCTGCGTGCTTGTTAAAGGAGTTACGGAGAAATTCAGCCTATGCGCAACGCAGTGTTGAATGCTTCATTTCGTTGAAAACGAGGATTTTCGATTTTCCCGGCGTCGACTAGCCGACGGTCCAGTAATTTCCACCAGACTCACTAGAAGTTTCATTCTTCGAAGGAGCATCTTGAAAGCAATAATTGAAGATCTTGGTAAGTAGACCTGCCGCCGAAAGCAGACAATGCTGATACCACTTGAAAGGACTTCGGACAGTATGCCCGCACAAGCTACATTTGTTCGATTCAAGCATCTGCAAGCATACCGACACAGCTCAACGTCAACAACATCGCATATAGTTCAGGCCCACTAATTGGCCCTTAAGGACATGGAGTTAGCACCTAAACCCTAAACCCTAAACCGAGCCCAAGTTCCAGCAACACTGCCACAAGACTGAGACTAGGACCCAGGCTCGTGATCCCAGCTTGTGTGAGAGGAACCATCTGAGGCCCTAATGTAGGGACCTAAATAATTCTCAAATCTGTTTGGGGGGTTCCATTTTATAATTAGGGTATAATGGACCCCAAGATCCTATAACAATTAGTAAGGCCCCTATACTAAGTGCAGCATCTATTCGCAACACCCGCCTGATACTTGTGACTGACGGCCCACAATGCCTCCATCTGCGAAGGATGCCGACTGCCGTCTTCTTTCAAAGTTTGACTCGATGGCTCTTCTGCCAGGTCCGCAACGGTGGGTAGCGTGTCAGTGTAAAGGAACTTTAGGAAGGCTTTGAAGGTGGCCGCAACGCAGTCTTCGATCACGATCACCTTGGACTTGGACTCCTGCATGCCCGAGTTCAGCTGCTTCTTGAGCACCTCCGATCTCGCACAGAGAACTTGGGAGTGCGCGTGGATAACTTGATCTTCCACCCTGAAACGTACATCGCTCGAGCTGGCTTCCTCGAACAGAGCCTGTGCATCCCGATGCAGAGACGGCTCTGGTACATCTACAGCCACGAGATCTGCGTGAGTGATTCCACGACAGCGGACTTCCAAAACGAACTTCAAGGTCAAAGTGTCATCATGCACCCATTCTGATTGCAGAAGCTGTTCATGCGTCAGGCCAAAGATTCCGATCGCCTCTGGAGGGGATCCTTGTGGATGCACATCCGGTCCATGATTTCCACAATAAAGCAGACTGGTGTTGATGTCATCGCGTGTAGAACCCCACTGGACAAAGTCCCCGTTATTCCTTCTGACGTAAATGCTGTAGCGCAATGCGAAGGGCTCCTGCTGTTCAAGAGCAGCAAATGACCGTATGGCAAGGGAACCGCAAATAGTCTTCTTGCCATCGGTTGAGGTCCCGAGAGGGCCACCGGAGGGATTGTAAACAAATTTGAACGGGAGCCTGTCTATCCAGCACAGGGCACTTTCCGCAAAAGGACGGGATTCTTGGCAGAGTGCTGTCTGAAGCCAAGACATCGAAAGAAGCCTCCATCTGAACTCTCCTTTCAGGATTTGATGGCCGAAGTTCGTGCACATATCCGCATCCGCAACCGTATGCACACTGCTTTTCTTGGGATGTTGTGGGACCGCTTGGCCGGAACTCGTGAACGATAGAAAGTCGCCATCCTCGTCCGCGTCGATGTCTCTTGTGTATGCTTCGTCCGCCTGGTTCATCTCTGTACGATCATGGAGCTTCTGCTGGATCTGTTCCAACTCCCGTCGCAAATGTTGCCGCTCCGTGGCCTGCTGAATTTCTTCCTCAATTTCGCGAGACCGCGCCTCTGCTGCTTGCAACCTTTGTTTGGCGGTCTCGATCTCCGCATGCAGCTCATTGGTTGTCATGGCCGCCGTTGTGCACGGAGCGCGGTGAAGCCTTCTACTTGTCGTGATGAAGCACCTCACTTTCAACATGATGTTATAATTGCGAAACTTCAAGCAGCTAATAAATATCTATAGTTGAAACATCTCTCGATTGCCCTCGAAATCGATACTTGAATTAGCTCGAGCTGGTTTGGACGAGCACAGCAAGGTGCATGTACAAGCTGTGCCGAATGTGACTTCACCAGCTGGGATATTCTCATCTCAATCTAGGGCCAAGATAAGCAGACTCTAAATCCCTGAACCCGAAACCACCAAACCCTGGTGTTGAACTCCTATGAGCCCCAAAAGCCCTAAACACTAAAGCTTAAAATCCCCTTATAAATCCGAAAACCCTTTGTATACCCTAAAACCCCTTGTAAACCAAAACAACACTTATGTATACTCTAAAACCGCCTATAAACCCTGAAAGCCCCTTACAGACCCTAAACCCCCTTTAAAACCCTAAGCGGCCCTGAACCCTAAGGGTTCCCTGAGACTTGGGGATTTCGGGGCTTGTGGCTTCCAAAGCTTTCTGCGATTAGGGTTTAGGGCTTAGGGCTTCGGGTTTAGGATGGGGATTTAGGGAGTAGGGTTTGGGGTCAGGGCTTCGGGTTTAGGGCTTAGGGTTGAGAACCCTAATCCCTGTTTGGGTTAGAGGTTGGGATTCAAGGCTTCGGGTTTAGGGGATTCGGGCACGAAGCTTAGGGTTTATAGGGCTTGGGGATTAAGGTTGTTTAGAGCTTAGGGTTTGGGGTTCACGTCTTCGGGCTTGGGGATCAAGGCTTCGGGCTTAACCCTAAACCCTAAACCCTAAACCCTAAACCCTAAACCCTAAACCCTAAACCTTCGGTGTTTCGAGTTTGGGGTCTTGGGAGTCTCAGCGAAGCTTCTACTTGTAGCAGATGGCAGGTACCATGGAGGAGCTTTTGGGTTCACACGTCTTGGGTTTATAGGGCTTAGGGTTTAGGGTTTAGGGTTTAGGGTTTAGGGGAATACTGTAAGGACTTCCTTCAGACCAACTTCTCAGGTGATGTGAACTTTGCAAGAGTTTTCGGCTCGATCTGGCAGTTTCAGAAAATGGGGGACAGGATATAGAACTGTCACTGATGGTTGAATGGGCCTGTCATTTTTGCGACTTCGACACCTTCGCCTCGTGCACCCGGTGTGATTTTGGGCTTAGGGCTTCTATTCCCTGATGCCGTGGTCCCACATCGCCTTGCGAAGTGTTCAAGCAGACCCGTCTCGCCCCCAAATACTGGTGATGTTTGAAAATACCGCATGGCAATGTCGAAGCAAGTCTTAAAAGCAAGCAGTGCCAAGCACGACGCAGCTGCAGTAGAAGTGAGAGCAATGCCTTGTCTTTTGCTATAGGTTGAACTCGCTCTCTACGAGGTCGTCTCCGCTCCATCCTCCAACTTTCGTACCTTGCGAGCCTGCACGATTGCAGCTGCCTCGCTTTCTGGCACTCCGGTCGAATAGAGTTGAACCTTCAGCGCAACCTCGGGCCATTTGCTCATGAGATCACTGTAGGCCTGAAGCTTGAGCACCTCTGCAAAGTTGTCTTTGATGTAAGCGAGACAAACCTTCTCGAGCTGTGTGGCCTCCAAGACATGTGCCTGGCGAAGGACGCTGCAGACCCGCTCTGCGCTGAGCTGGTTGCAGAGCTGCGCTTCACACCAACGCTGAAGCCGTTCTACCTGCGGGGTTGTTAAAGGAGTGCTATCTCATATGGAGAAATTTAGCATATGCTCAACGCAGTGTTGAATGCTTCATTTCCTTGAAAACGAAGATTTTCGATTTTCCCGGCGTCGACTAGCCGACGGTCCAGTAATTTCCACCAGACTCACTAGAAGGTTCATTCTTCGAAGGAGCATCTTGAAAGCAATAATTGAAGATCTTGGTAAGTAGACCTGCCGCCGAAAGCAGACAATACTGATACCACTTGAAAGGACTTCGGACAGTATGCCCGCACAAGCTACTGTTGTTCGATGCAAGCATCAGCAAGCATACCGACACAGCTCGACGTCAGAAACATCACATATAGTTCAGGCCTGCTAATTAGCCCTCAAGGACATGGAGTTAGCACCTAAACCCTAAACCCTAAACCGAGCCCAAGTTCCAGCAATACTGCCACAAGACTGAGACTAGGACCCAGGCTCGTGATCCCAGCTTGTGTCAGAGGAACCATCTGAGGCCCTAATGTAAGAACCTAAATAATTATCAATACTATTTGGGAGGTTCCATTCTATAATTATGGTATAATGGACCCCAAGATCCTATAACAATTAGTAAGGCCCCTGTACTAAGTGCAGCATCTATTCGCAACACCCGCCTGATACTTGTGACTGACTGCCCACAATGCCTCCATCTGCGAAGGATGCCGACTGCCGTGTTCTTTCAAAGTTTGACTCGATGGCTCTTCTGCCAGGTCCGCAACGGTGGGTAGCGTGTCAGTGTAAAGGAACTTTATGAAGGCTTTGAAGGTGGCCGCAACGCAGTCTTCGATCACGATCACCTTGGACTTGGACTCCTGCAAGCCCGAGTTCAGCTGCTTCTTGAGCACCTCCGATCTCGCACAGAGAACTTGGGAGTGCGCGTGGATCACCTCTCCCTGCACCCTGAACTGCATGTCGCTGCAACCCGCTTGCTCGAGTAAAGCTTGCGTGTCGCGATGCAGGGTTGGCTCTGGAACATCCACAACCTCTCCTGGAACAACGTGGGAAAAATAACACCGCTGAGGACGCACTTCCAAAACAAACTTCAAAGTCAAAGTGTCGTCGTGGACCCACTCCGACAGCAAGAGTTGTTCATGCGATAGGCTGAAGACTCCGATTGCTGCTGGAGGGGAACCCTTTGGATGCACATCCGGTCCAACTATTTTGCTGTGAACCGAGTTTATCTTCTCTTCCTGTGTGTTGCCCCATTGCACGAACTCCTTGCCGCACTTCTGGACATACACGGTATGGCGAAGCACGAAAGATACCATTGACTGTGTGCGTGGCGTTACTATGGCGACAGAACCACACATATCCTCTATGTCTTCAAAGCCATCCATATGACGCATGACAAAACCTCCGTCGGGATTGTAGGTAAACTGGAACTTGTACTCGCCCACCTGAAACCATTCGGACCGGGCAGTTCCATGTCGTCCCACGGCAGCTCGAAGCCAAGACATGCGAGTAAGCTTCCATGTGTACTCGCCTTTGGCAACCTCGTGGCCGAAATCTGCATGCTCCTCACCGAATGCACGCACATGGCAGCCTTTGGGAAGCAGCTTCGCTGGGACAGAGCCAGGCGGGCGTGCTGCCCAGGGTAGATGATCTCCGTCATCGTCCGCATCTATTTCTCTTCTGTAGAGGTCTTCTTCGAGGTTTTCTTCCCGCTCCATTTCGAGAATCCTCCTGTAGTCTTCCAGCTCTCGCCGCAGTCTTTGCCGCTCGAGGGCTTCTTCTGTCGCCGCTTGGAGTTGTCGGTTCCTTGCCCGCTCTGTCTGTGTCAACGCTTTGGTGGCCTCGATCTCTGCGCGCAGCGCCTCGGCTGTCATGGCTAACGCCTGCACACAACGGAACGCCTAGGACTGTGCACCGATCACGCTCGAGCCCATCGCTTCGAGCATCAAGTTAAAAGGGGAAAGCTTCAAGCAACACTAGGTCTACGCGGCGTACTGCTTCAGAATCGGCTACTCTGCCTTTTCTGAGCTTGTGCCTAGTTTCACGGCTTCGGACCCTAAACTCTACCCCTGGACCCTGGCCCTAGAAACCACTGGGACACTGGACTGGGGCAGGGTCCTTCTTGTTATGGCAACTCGAGACGGCTCCTGCTGGGATAGTCGGTTAACGTAACCATACAGTTCACAGAGGTAGAAATCAATGCATGCGAAACAAGCGTGATCTACAAGCTAGAGACAGCGTGGCTTACGGCTCATGGCTCCAGGTTTCTCCGAATCGGAGTATGTGCACCAACGGAATGCCTGTCCAGAGCAAAACGCTCCGCGTGCCTTCTTTTTCAGGTCGATAAACTTGTCTGGGGGCAGCAAGATTTCTTGCAGAGCCTCGCAACACCATTGTGGTCGGTTGATGTCGGGGATGGGTGTCCGTTGCGGGTCTACAGTGGTTTGCGTTCTGCCCCTAGAAGGAGAAAACTTCAATCCGAAAATACACCCTCGTCGTATGGCCTGGCACACCACAGACCCTAAGCCCTAAGCAAGAAAATGAAGTTACAGGTCAGATAACCTCTTTACTGCTGAAAAGCACAACGTTGCTCTCCGTTTGACCTGCAAAGGTACTAAGCTCTTATTCTAAAAGCTATAGGCCTAAACTAAAAGTCCTAAATCTATTTCACATGTATTGAAGCTCTGGCCAGGGATGGACGGCCTGAATCTACGAAAAGGACGAAAAGGAAACTGCTCCTCAGGCTGTAAAGCCTTTAGGGTTTAGGGTCCGAGAGGTTGTGGAAGCAAGAGGTCACATACATGCCGCCCCTCTCCGTACCAAATGGGAGGTAAGAGAACTCTACGCCCTGCCCATAGGCCCCATAGTAGTTCCTTTGTGGGGCTCATAGTTAGATTCCTACAAAGGTAATCCCAAAAAGGAACTACTATGGGGCCTATGGGTGAACTGAACCCTGAATCCTAGACCCTGCGCCCGAAAGTGTCGAATTCTATCTACTTTTCCCCTAAACCCTAAACCCTAAACCCTAAACCCTAAACCTAAACCCTAAACCCTGCACCCTGAACCGTCAGTTCATCCTTGAGGCTGTACCCCTAAACCCTAAACCCTAAACCCCAAGAACCCCTAGCACCCTAAACCCTAAACCCTAAACCCTAGAACCCCTAGCTTATCCTCGAAACCGCAGGATGTGCCAGCCTTCCGATCGACGATGCCCGTGCTCTCCATGCCAGACAAGTCCTGCAAACCAAGCAGCCGTTTGGAGGCTCAAGAGTTTAGGGGGTTTAGGGCCTAGGGGTTTAGAGGTTTAGGGTTTAAGGTTTAGGGTTTTGGGGTTTAGGGTTTAGGGTTTTAGGGGTTTTAGGGTTTAAACCCTAAGCCCTACACCCTTGATGTTTCCATCTGCAGACGTCCAAGCCGCCGAAGGAAGGTCTTAGCCCAGGGGACGGGAGCAACTCAGCCCGCTCACAAGCCAAGGCTTTAGGGATTAGGGATTAGGGATTAGGGATTAGGGATTAGGGATTAGGGATTAGGGATTAGGGTTTAGGGTTTAGGGTTTAGCGGTTTAGCGGTTTAGGGTTTAGGGTTTAGGGGTTCAGGGTTCCGGATGGAGGAT